TGTAAATAAATTTTCTTTATCTGTGTGCATCTACTGATGGACATATAAGTTATACATGATTTTGTTATTATGAACTACGCTGCTATAAACATGAGTATGCATGTATTATTGTAACAAGATGTCTTTTGGGACAATACTTAGAAGGGGAATAGCTGGGTCACATGGAATTTCTATTTTGAATTTTTGAAAAATCTCCACATTGACTTCCATAGTAGTTTTATATTCCCACCAACAGTGTAGAAGGGTTCCTTTTTCTCCTGTAGCCCCACCAGCACTTATTATTAGATTTCTTGATGATGTGGAGTAAGATAGAATCTCAATGTTATTTTAATTTACATGTTTTATTTGTTTTAATGCTCATATGATTGACTGTGGTCACTTTATCAAATTGGGTCTGTTTAATCCACTTGGAATTTATGCTTATGAGTTGTAAGATACAAAAAGCTAATACTGGGCCAGGGAAATAGCTCAGTGGAGTGCAAGGGCCTGAGTTCAATCCCCAGTTCAAAAAAAAAAAAAAAGATCTGTTGAGTAAGTTCTTGCCTGGAAAGCACAAGGTCCTGAGTTTGATCCCTGGTACCACTGTTAAAAAAAAAAAAAAAAAAAAAAAGCTAATACTATTTTTTTTTACAAAAATTAAGTGTATTTAAAAAATTTTAGCTAATACCATTATTTATAAATATTCCAGCCTTGTCTCAGTGGTGTGAAATTCTATCTCATCCCATGGCCTGATTTTTTGTTATTGTTGTTGTCTTGCTATGTAGTTCGGCTGGCACATCCACTGGTCAAACTTGAGGTCACTATCCTGCCTCATCCTCTTGAGTGCTGGGACTATAAGCATGTACTACTATGTTTGGCTCTATGATTTTTTTTTTTTTTAATGTATTTGGTACAGAGCCTCACTTCACAGCTTGGACTTGTAGCGATCCTCCAGTTTTCAGCCTCCCCAGAGCTGGGATTACAGGCGTGTGCCACAACACTTGGTCTCAGTAGCTGGCTCAGCATGCTCAAAGGTGGGACCGGCACAGCATGTGGTGCCAGGGATGGAACCCCACTCCCTGAGCTTGCCTAAGCAGGTACTTAGTCTGCTGAACTATTTTGCTGGCTCTCCATGATGTTTTTAATTCTTTGTTCTTTAATCCATTTTGCCTATTCTGTATCAGTACCAAACTATTTTTAATTGATATGAATTTTCACAGTATTTGTATTTAGAGGTAGTAATCTCTAATTTTAACATATTAAAATTTACTATTAATTTATTACTAATTTTGGCCTAAATGTATGTTCATTTGTGTAATAAAATCTTTTGTGCATTTACTGTTTTATGCACTAGAAATAAAAAATATTGATCACACCTGTAATCCCAGCACTCAGGAGGCTGAGGTACAAGGATTGCTGTGCGTTCAAAGCCAGCCTGGGCTAAGCCAGCCTGAATTGCATAGTGAGACCCTGTCCTAAAATCACACTAAAAAATTGATCACTGAACTAAACTGACCAAATATAAATTTGATTGGAGACTCTGGGGGTTTTTTTGGGGGGAGGGGTGGGCAGAACTTGGGACTAATCCCAGAACATGCTAGGTTACATGCCTTTTAAATTTGTATTTTAAGCCAGAGTCTTACTAAGTTGCCCAGGCTGGCCTCAAAGTTAGACTCTTCATGCCTCAGCCTCTGGAGCAGCTGGGGTGTACCACACCTGCCTTAGACACTGCTTTTTGAGTTTTTTCAAGGTAAAGGAAAGGGAATGGCAAAAATATTTTCTCATAAATACAGATTAAGTTGTTAGGTATCCATTAACAAGAAAGATCAGCTTTGCTAACTTTTTAAAAAATACAACTAAATGTAAATCAGAGCTTGGAACTCCCATAGAAAGTCTAAACTATGAACCAAGCTAAGAAATGAGAAAAGTAGATCATTATGTAATATCATAAAAATCATTCCCATTACAATTTTACTAGCTTTAATCTACCAATTAGGGGGTAAATGACTTTTCACATAAAAATTAGGGCAAGGTCTTTCCTCTTCCTCTATTAAACTTACGTTAAGAGCAACACACAGAGTCATGCCCAGTGAAGCATCACAACATTCTGGGTTGATCCTATCTATAAATTCTCACAAGTACATTTAATTGCATGTTCCTACTTTCTCAGATTAGCCTCTTGGCCAAGATACTTCATTTGAACTCCAAAGGATATGGGGTAACCAGGAACCACTGTTGAGCAGGATTAGCTAGAAATTGCAATCGGGAAAAAGGTTTGAGTCTACTTCATACAGTAACAGGATGATGTAGGAATAACATCAGGAAATCCACATCTTTACCTAAGTGAAGATATTGGAACTCAAGAGACATGAATGGAGGGTCCTTAAAACTAGTGTTGATTCCCACACGTGCATAACTGCAGGAACTATTGCTATCTGTGCATGCTAAGCTCTATACTAACTTTAAATATAACTTATCTGAGTACCAGAGCAGACTTCTATTCAACAAGTATTTATTGTACATCTACTGTAGCAGGGACAAGAAGTGAACCTGACAGACAGTTCTTTTTCTCTGTCAAGGAACTGTCCTTTCTCAAACAAGTGGTTTACATTAACATCCAAGACAGAAAGAGCTGTCTTCTAACTAAACTGTGGAAGAATAGTATTACTTTATTATGTACTGATACTCAATAAAATGTCAGCCTGGTCTAAAGCTGATTATAAGCTTAATTCCTGCTGTATATATTCTCATTTTAAACATCATGTATAAACATGATGAGCCAAGATTCATGATTTGACAGCCTCATGACATTTTGCTTCTTTTTTGTTACTGCAGTCAAAAGGCTTAGGCTTTTTCAGACAAGCTCTTGCTAGGTAGCCCAGGCTGACCTCAAATTCAAGGCAGTCCTCCTGCCTCAGCCTCCCAAGTGCTGGGATTACAGGTATACGCCACCATATCCAGATGGCTTGGTGTAGTCTTGTTGGATGGTCTCTATGACTAATAACTTACCTTAATAACTAGCTCTTCTCTTAATCAACTGTCCAAAGCATAAAGGACTTTCTCATGCAGGGAGAGAGTGGTGGATTACATTTGCATAGGATGAACCTTCATGTAGGCATGGGTTGCTTCAAGTTGGGTTGGGATAAACCAGGTCTTTCAGGACCTGAGATAAAAATGTGCCATCCTGAGCAGTGGTCAAAGTAATAGGTACCACTGCTCTAGAATTCTAGGTCTACCACACATCCACATTCTCTTGAGCACCTCACTTCACTTTTCTTTCCAAGAGCAATGAAGTGATAATGGTTGATAGCACAATGTAAGCAGTAATGGTGGTATAAGCCAGGCTCTGGAGTTAGAATTCTGGTACTATCTACTACATGACTGATTATGCTCATTAGCTCAAATGAAGCTGTGGTGAACTTAGAAACAGGAATACAGAGCAGCGTTTTCCCACACTGATCATATTCCTACCAACATCCAGCACTTGGCCCACTGATAGCCTTGCCAGATGCCTATGCAGATACAGTAAGCCCTTTTTCCTGCAACTCACTCATGGTCATAACCAATGACTTCCCCAGACAAGGTTCTTAAGGAAGTCTCAGGAAAGTTGATATGGATTCCAACCTTTCATGGAGCTTTTTCTTCTTCTGGAGGCCTTCAACTAACCCAGTTAAGATGGCTCTCTCCACACAAATCAGTTTGAATTAGCTAGTTTGTTTGTTTGTTTTTCTTTTTTTCGTGGTACCAGGGATTAAACTCAGGACCCTGCGCTTGCCAGGGCCCGGGTGAATTAGCTAGTTTCTGTATTAACTTTTTACAACCATTCTTACACAGTTAAAATACTGAGACAAGGGAGAGAGCTAGAAACACTGACTCATACCTCTTCCCCCTATTGCCTTCTTCTAGTGCCTCTAACCAGAGGAACTCATTGGTGTAGTCCATAAAAGCTTCCCAGGGAACAGAACACAGTGATGACTGGTTAGAATAAATCTGGAATAAACATTAAATGATGGTTAAAATGAGTGAAGACACCAAAGTTCAGTTTGCTGGTACTTACCCATTTAAATAAATATAAAATCAGTGCAAAACGTGATCAAAAGCATGGTTTTTAATAGTCATACAAATGTTTCTCATTGAAACTGAATTCTGGGTTGCACTTAAGAGCACAGTAATTTAGAACTGGGCGTTGTGGTGCACACCTATAATGACTCAGGAGGTTGAGCCAGAAGGATCTCTGTGAGTTCAAGACCGGCCTGGGGGCTAAAAAAGTGAGCACAAGGCCAGCTCAAACTGCATACTGAGACCCTGTCTCAAAAAAAAAAAAAAAAAAAAAAAAGCATAGTAACTTAAACACTATGTTCATTTCATGTTTCACAAAGAATTAGGTCAATGTTTCTTGAACTACTTTCAATCTTGTATTCTGGAGCAGGGGAGATAGCTCAGTAGAGTAAGTGCTTGCCTGGTAAGCGCAAGGGCCTGAGTTCAATCCCTAGTTCTGAAAAAAAAAAAAAAAAAAAAAGTCTTATATTCTTCCTAAGGATCTGTTTGAAACTTTTTCTAAGGTACACTTTCAAGTCACAAAAGTCAGGTTGGAGAAAACATTATATTTCTTTTTTTTTTTTTTTTGAAGACTGGGTCTCAGTAGGTAGTTCAGGCTGGCCTTGAACTTGCAACAATCCCCCTGCCTCAGCTTCCAAGGTGCTGGATTATACAGGTATGTACCACTATAGCCAGCTTTGCTTTTACTTTTTGATTTAGTAGATGGATAAACTTATCTGAAAATTTATTGTGTTCCAGGGCTGGCCAAATAGCTCAGCAGATTAAAGTGCCTGCAAGCAGGCGCAGGGGCCAGGGGTTTGCTCCCCAGGCCTGCCTTGCTGGCCCATGGGCTGCGCTGAGACAGCAATAGAGATTAGATGTGGTGGCACACACCTGTAATCCCAGCACTTGAGAGGCTGTAAACAGGAGAATCACTACTAGTACTGAGACCCTGAACACCCTGTAGACCCTTCCCTAAAAATACACCCAAAAAAAAGAAAATGTGTTCCAATATAGTGAATACTTGAATGTAAAAACTTTATTGCTGTGGCCAGTTTCCAGTTTTACCTTTGTGCTATGCGTTGGCATTTTAGTAACTTTTACTTTCTGCACTTAATAGTGCTAAGAAATAAAAGAGGGTGGTGTGGCAACATCTATAACCAAACTCAAGGTCCCACTTGTAGAAAGCTTTGTTGTCTATACCAAGCATCATCTTTAGTGCCCAGAACTTAAAGAAGAAAGGTCTAGTGTCACTGTATGGGGGTTGAAGTAAGTGCCAAAGGAAAAACAGTTCCCACCACCTCCAAGTAGCAAGAGCTGTTGCTCTTCAGGAAGGAGAATGCTGGTATGGCTGTGTAACATTAATGGCCATGGCACACTTGTTGTGTCAATCTCATACTCAGTGCTCAACCCTGTACTCAAATTGATAACAGTCACTCCAGGAACTGAGGAGGAATGAATCCAGACACCTCCAACCAGCAGAAGTTGTCCATTGAATACATGAGATGTGTGGGAGTACCTTGGGGTAATGGCAGGCTGGATATCTATTGATTCCCAGAGGAATCCTCCAGAGATTGGTCTCAGGAAGACTACAGATTTCAAAGGTTCTTCAGAAGCTCCAAGACCTCCAGCAATAAGGGTTCCCTCTTGCCAAGGGCAGGCACTATGGGAATGCCGAGCCTCAGGTGCATCCCCTTTCACTGGGATACTGACCCAAGCCATTGTTCCTACATGTAGGAAATGCCAGTCACTTAGCACTGGTTCAACTACATTCCGACCCCCATACACAAACAAGTATTTCTCGTTCTGATAAGACACTTCTGTTGCTGAATGCCGCCAACATGACAAAGTGTAATCCTCTAAGTCAACCTTTTTTACTGTCACATTCAGGACTTCAGTGCTATTATCCTCACTCTTACACATATGTAGCTGGAGAGCTCCCAAGGCTGGACTTAATGGGGACAGTCTCCCTCCCAGAACCAGAACCTGACTATCTGAAAGTCTTGTCATGGTATGGTAAAGGCGTCCATCCCATTGGAGACCAGTCCCCCAAGTACATATTTGGCTGCTTTTCCATTCACCATGACAGTATCTTGAGAGCAAGTGAAGTTTGCTCACCCTGCAGTGCCGTCCTTCCTGTTCTCCAAATCCTCCTGCACTGAGAACAAACCCAGGGCTCAAGAGGACAGAGGCATGGCCGTATCTCTTAAGGTTTGAACTCTGGCAGCCATTAGTGACCACTTTGGCAGGAAAGGCCGCCGAAGGCGAAGCAGGATCTACCTGGGGAAATGCCTCTGAGGGAGGCAACACAAGACTCTGGGAGAGGGTGTCTCCTTTTGAAGCTGTCAGAATGAAATAATGGGAGCACTTCAGATGCCACTCCTCAAACTCATCAAAGGGTTCAAGATGCTCTATACGGTGGCGTTCTTCAGCAGGAAGAAAACAGCGGTAGAATTTATTCATGTCCATGGCACTGCAGGCAGTCCAGCCAGCTTGAAGGAAGCGGCGCCGCTGGGACTCCACCTCAGGAAAAAGGTCCAGGCCATGTAGAGGAGAATTCAACTGCTGAAAATGTTGCAACATGACCTGCCCGAAGGCATCTTGTGGCTTCATTTGCTCATACATCACGAAAAGGGCATTAGGAAAACGCTGGGCTGCCCAGGCGATGAGGGCTGCAGCACTGCTAGGCTGGAGGTAGGTGAGCACCGCCTCGGCCAGGAGCAGGGTGGGTGCGGCCACGTTCAGGCCCGCCGCGTCCAGGGCCTCGTCCAGCTGCCGCAGCTGCCGCAGGTCCAAGCCCAGGATGCGGTAATCCAAGCTCTCAAAGCACAGCGCCGACTCCGGACTCCCCCTTCGGAAAGGCCCGATTAACGCGCACAGTTCCGGCGTCTCTGTGATCCTCTCCGCCTTGCGCTTCGCCACGTCCAGGAAATCCACTTCCCAGACGCCAGCCCCAGTCAAAAGGCCGGAAGCTTTGAGGCGAAAATATAGTGAGTCCGAGCCAGCGCCAAGGGACAAGATCTGGGCGCTCGGCGCGTGAGGCAAAGCGCTCGTCTGCGTCAGGAAGGCGTGCACGCAGTGGCGCACCGCGCGCGCGCGGACGTAGTAGCCGCGGTGGATGAGGGGCGTGCGGCGCGCGCTCGCCGGAACCAGCAGCAAGGCGAAGGCGTCGTCCACGTACCCGCGGGAAGCCAGAGAGCTCTTGCTGAGGGCGCTGCTGTCATTGGTGCTCTGTACTGTTCCTACGCGGCGCTCGCGTCTCCGCGGCCCCATGCCCAGGAAACTGGAACGGCGTCCTAGTGTGCTCCAGCGTTCTCCGATACAGCTCCCACGGTGCTCGGAACGGAAGAACCGTCCTTTTCTGTTTGGGCGGGCCTGGCCGCACGTATACGTCACTTCCGGATGGAGCGCACCCCGCCAATCAGGATTACACACAGTGTTGCTTGTTCTCAGAATGAACTGCGATTGTCAGGATTCTTTGGTTGTCGGGATTATATTTTTCCCGGAGACTGAATGACAACGTGTCAGGGGAGCACAGGTTGTCACTTTTCTACAAGCCTTTCAGTGTGAAGGATTACTTGGCCCTCGTAGCTGAGAAATCTTTTTAAGAGGTGAGTCGGGGGACTGATAGCCTGTCTTGGACGACAAGGAAGGGCTGGGTAGGGACAAAGAGCTGTCAGTCCCAGGACCTTTAGCGTGCCAGAAGAGGTCGTGCCTGGTATTGCTAATTTAGTAGTTGCTAATTTATTTGCTGCTGTCGTCGTGCAAAGCAGAATCCATTAAATCTGAAATTCAAATGGAAGGTGAAGAAAAAGACCTTAACAGGTCACTTATATTTACAATAACCATCACGTCACAGCTGCACACTTGATGCCCTTGTGTTCTCTGCTAGGCTCACAGTAGTTAAACCACTCTCTTTCTCATCTATGAAATGCCACTTTCCTTCACGTGCAGTTTTCTGTAATGTGAAAGTAGCGTTGAGTATGGTCCGCGAAAGCTGGCCACAGAAGAGATGATTATTCCCTCTGCCATATTGTGAATATTGCTTTTAAGGAGGAAATCCAGGTTCAGGTTTAAAGTAAAGTTTCTAAACCTCGTGCCTAGGAGTCATCAGTAAGAAATCACTATCAGAGATATTTAGGAAATTTATTTTTCTGACTGACTGAAAGGAAATTTGGATGACTTGTAATTACGGTTAGCCGCAAGTGTTAGCGCTTAATAGTTAAGGGCATGAGTGTTGGGGTCCAACTCATTTGGATATTTAGCGTCAAGAAAAGGTTAGATCAGGATAAAGATTTGATAGTTTGAGAATTGTCTTTAGCTTTGATGTTAATGACCTTTTGGGAAGTTGAATCTGTAGCAAAAAGAAGGCAGAATCTGTCTGAATAAATGAGAGAAAAGTTAACGGAAGCATTTGTTGTAAATTGTGGTTTTAAAGGAGGTTGGCTTAGAAGGAAGAGATAGGGCAGTATTTAAAGAAGAATGTGGGGTAAGAGTTTTTTTTTTTTTTTAGAAGTGGAAGCAAAAAATGTGCACATGCATATTGTGCATGAGGGAGATCAGCCAGTAGGGAGGGAGAACTTGAAGGAACACAAAAATAGGAAAGTAATGCACTGACAGAGTAACAACTTGGAATAGACTCGAAAAAGTGGGACCTGGGTACACACTACTCTTGGGGGCAGGAGAATGAATTCTTTTTTCTGACTCAGAAGAGTGTAAATTTAGCTGTAGGGCAGAGAAAAACAAAAAAATCATGCCTGATGGCTTCTGTTCTCTGTGAAGGTAGGAGCAGGGTTGTGGTCACCTTAAGGCACTTAGAGCTAGGACTTAAGAAATACCTGTAGAGGAGCTGGGTGCAGGACTCACCTCAGCTACCTGGGTCCTTGGATCCTCTGAGGGACCTGAGGAATGCTAGTTGAGGCTTCTCAGGGTTGATTGAGGGCCACACTGAGGGGTGAGAAGGACTAAATAGCACTGTGAAATAAATTTATTTAACGATAAGTTCATAAAATTATTAAGTTAAAATATTCCTTTTTAAATAAATAGCTGGTGAAGCAGATTTAAGAAAAAAGAGCAAAGTTTGTGATGGAGGTACCTTATGATTTTTTTAAACTTTACTTATTCTTAGGTAAAATGGGGACAGTAATATCTCATGGGTTGTAGTGAGGACTTAACCTGTAACAGCATAGAGGCAGACTCCTAATAGGTGCATTATAAATAGTAAACATATATATATATATTTTTTTTGGCGGAACCAGGGATTGAACTCAGGTCCTTGCGCTTGCCAGGGAAGCGCTTATTCCACTGAGCCATCTCCCCGGCCCCAGTAAACATATTTTTAATATTCTGCCCTTTTCTGAGGGGACAGGGAACTGAATAGAAGAAAAATGATACTAAGAATGAGGTCAGTGGGACCACTTAAGACATTCTATCTAAAGGTGACTAAGTCCAGTGAAAACTAATCTGATAAGACCTGAGATCAGACAGGACTGCTGTTCAGAGATTTTTTGAAGAATACTGAGAATGGCATACAGTGAAGATTAACATTAAAATGAGGTGAAAGAAAGCTGGAGTGTCATAGAAAAAGTATAATGATTAGTTCTTTTTATTTTATTGTCATTATTATTTTTTACTTTTTGGTGGTACCAGGGCTGAAACTCAGGACCTTGTGCTTGCCAGGCAGCACTTATTCCACTGAGCTCTCCCCTCAGCCCAATCAGTTCCTTTTTTTTTTCTTTTTAAATTAAAAATTAATTCAGAGGGGGCTGGGGAGATGGATCAGTGACTCGGCGCCTGCCCAGCAAGTGTGAGGTACTGAGTTTGATTCCTGGCACCAAAAAAAAAAAAAAGAAAAATCCACTCCGGACTGATGTGACCTACCAGATTTCAGAACATGTGTTAATGGCACATATGTTACTGAAAACTTAGGTCCTATATATTTTTTCTTTATAACTTTTAAAGAACGAATACGCAGTGTTTAACTGCAAGTTTCCATTCTTGGACTTTGAGAACAGGATTAAATATTAGTATTCTTTTGATCAGACTAAGTGAGATTCCAGTCTATAGCTACACCACCCTGAATGCACCCAGTCTCCCGTAAGTGGGATTTAGTTTTATACAACTCTTCTATATTTAGCCTTTGGTTGGTTGGTTGGTTGGTTGGTGTTGTTTTTGGTACACGGGATTGAACTTGGGACCTTGTGCTTGCCAGACAGGTGCTTATGCTGCTGAGCTATCTCCCCAGCTATGTTTAGTCTTTGGCTTTAGAAGTGAAAATATAGTACCTCTGACTTTCTGTTAGAATTGATGGTATCATTAACATTTTAAAATGTTTTTTCTAATAAAGTTATTGGCTGAAAATAAGACATATACTGGTACATATTGTATAAGATACAGGATAAATTCACAAGAGTTACTGTGTCACAAATGCGATTTTTTTTTTTTACATTGATAGATGTTGCCAAATTATTCATTAAAAACACTACCAAGGGACTGGGGATATAGCAGTGGCACAAATGCCTACCTGGCAAGCACAAGGTCCTAAGTTAAATTCCCTGTACCAAAAAAGTACAAAAATGAAAACAAAATTACCCAGGTTTTTTTTTTCTCCCCACAGTTTTACCATTGTTGCTCATTCTGGAGTTGAGAACTTTTTTCTGCATATTTTAACAAGTTAAGTCTACAATATGAACTTTAAAATAAATTTTTAGGAATAATTTTTGGAGTATTTTGATTAATATTTACCTTATATAGGTGAAGCATTATTAATCTGAAAATCTGTGTGTGTGTGTGTGTGTGTACGTACGTACACATATGTTTGAAACTGGGGACTCAACCCAGGACCTTTCACTGAGTTACTTCTCCAGCTCCCTGCCCTCTCTTTTTTTCTTTGAGTCAGGGTCTCAATAAGCTGCTGAATTGCCCAGCGTGAGCTTTGTATATGTGACTCTCCTGCCTCAACTTCCCAGAGTGCTGGGATTACAGGCATGCACCATCACGCCTGGGTGAAAGTTGAAATGCCCAGTATATGAAACTTTTTGAACACTGACATAATGCTGCAAGTAGAAAATTCCATACTATGAAACTTTGTTGTGTGTGTGGTACCGGGGATTGAACTCAGGACCTGGTGCTTGCCAAGCAAGTGTTTATTCTACTGAGCTATCTCCCTGGCACGAAACTTTTTTTAATGCACAAAATTGTAAAATACTGTATACAATTGCTTCTGAGCTAGACATGGTGGCATATGCTTGTAATCCCTGCATGTGGAGGCTAAGGCAGGAGGAACTTGAGCTCTAGCAGACCTGACTTACATAGTGAGTTTAAGACCAGCTTGGATTACATAGCAAAACCCTATCTCAAAAGGTAAGTAAATAAAGAACTTACTTTCAGGCCATATGTAAAATGTGCATATGAAATATATGAATTTCATATTTAGATTTAGTTCCAGTTCCCCAGATATCTCATTTGTATGCAGATATTCTAAAATATGAAATATTGTTGGTTGCAAGTATTTAGGCTAAGGATGTTCAACCTGTAAATCAATTTGTGATAGATTGCCAGGCATGATGGCATGTGCTGCAATCCCAACTACTTGGGAGGTTGAGGCAGGAGTGTTGCACGTTTGAGACCAGCCTGGGCAACTTTGGGAGACCTTGTCACAAAATTTTTTGAAAATCACTGCAACTGTAACTCAGTGGTAGAGTGCTCTGGGTTCAATCCCTAGTACTGTGAAGAAAAAAAAATTATGGTAAATTCATTTTACCTATTAAATAATAGGTATGTTCCCATTTAAATGAAGCCTTTTATGCTTTTTCAGTAGAGATATTAAATACCATTGATTAAATAGCGCATCTTTTCTGTTTATTACTCTTCATGGAGCACTTACCCTTGCAGTACATTGAAATGTCACTTTTATCTCATACTGACTTGGTTTTTCTGTTGCTTTCTGTTGCTGTGTTTGGTCTTGCACCAGCTAGTTTCTTCTGCAACACTGGAGATTGAACCCAAAAGTGGTTGAACTTTATCTATGGCCCTTTTTTATTTTTGCTTAATTTTTAATTTTGAGACAGGGTCTTCTTAAGTTGCTTGGATGGCCTTGAACTTGTGATCCTCGTGCCTCAGCCTTTCCAGAAGCGGGGATTGCAGTGTGTACCATCATCCCTGGATGAATTATTTTCTTTATTGAACATTTTAATATCTGGATAACTTATTTAGCCCTGCTTAGTATGATTTCTTAACTTTGTTATTATAATCATATTTTAAAGTTATTGTGAGCATTCAAGATAATATTATTAAGTGTAGGGCTGGCCAGATAGCTCAGCAGATTAAAGTGCCTGCTTAGGCAGATGCAGGGACTGGGGTTGGATCCCTGGTGTGCTGTGCCAGGCCTGCCCCCGGGGCACCCTGAGATGGTGATTAAGACTGGGCATAGTGGCATGAGCTTGTAATCCCAGCACTTGGGAGGCTGAAAACAGGAGAAACACTACAAGTCCAATCTGTGTAGTGAGATCCTGTAGTCCCTGTATTAATATATTTTGGCAGAACCGGGGATTGAACTCAGGCCCTTGCGCTTGCCAGGCAAGCATTTATTCTACTGAGCCATCTACCATATATATATATATATATATCCCTTAATGTGTATATTAATTATTACATTTATATATGTTATTGAATGTGTATGCTACAAATCTTGTGGGCTTTGATACATTGAAACTTTTATTCTTCTTAATATCATCAGCTTTAATATGTGAAAACCCAGAGGGTCAAGGCGGCTACTTGAAAGCATAACTAGATTTCATGTGGAATATTTCAGAGGTAAAGAGAAGTTAGGAGTGATTTGTCACTTGCAGTGTATCAACATTGTGCTAGGTAGCAAGGTGATAGAATGAGCGGTAGTCTCTATTCTCAAAAAACTTGGGAGAGTTATAGTTAGTCACTAGGTTAAGGGCCGGCCGCATAGCTCAGTGGACTAAAGCACCTGCTTAGGCAAGCGCAGGGACTGGGGTTCCATCCCTGGAGTGCAGTGCTGGCCCTGCCCCCGAGTGTGCTAAGACCTTGCCCCCAGGTGTGCTGAGATGGCGACTGAGAATAGACATGGTGGGAAAAAAGATAAGAATAATCACTAGATTATATTAGAACATAGAATAATTTCAATTACTGTATTAATCTCAATTACTCTGCAATTTTATCCCATTTTTACAAATAAGGAAACTGAAGCCATGTGGATAACTGATTTAGGACACAAAGCTGCTGGAATGCAGAACTGGTAAAAGGGCAAACTAGGTCCTTCTGACTCCATGCTTTTACTCTTTCTTATAATATTCTAATCAAGCAAAATGTAAGTTTATTTTTTTAACCCAAAACAGGACTTAATACATTTCTAGTATCTAAAGTTGTTTGTAGAAAGTGCTCATAGGCATGGGATACACTACCAAATTTCAGGTCTTAATACATCTCATAAGAGCTTGGGGCCTTTCCCTGGTTCTTATTCATGTTCCTCACTACCTCAGACACATTTAAATTAGCTTTGGAAGCTGAGCATGAAGGTGCAAACCTGTAATCCCAGGAATCTAGAGGCTGAAGAAAGAGAATCACAAGTTTGAGCTGGCTCCTATGGGCAAATCATACTTAATGACTGAGCAAGACCATGTCTCAAAATAAAAAAAGGTCTGGGGATGTAGTTCAGTGCAAACATCCTGTGTTCAATCCCCAGTAGTACCTCCTCCCAAAAAATTAAAGAATAAATTAACAAAATTCTGTGGTTTTGTTTTGTTGCTTGTATGTCAGCATCTAAACATACTCATATTTGTTCAAATAGGTGAAAATGAACACAGAGCTATATATACAACCAATTTTATAAAAATGTGTGGAAGGAATTTGAAGAAAATCCAGGAACACCAAGTTTACTGAAACACATTGTGGTAGTCAAACCACGGATAAGAGTGGAAAAGGAACACTTCTTTTCTGGTAAAATCATGATGGAGGCAGAACTGCAGCAGCCATGGATGCCAGACTTTTACTTGGAATTGCCCAAAGTGGTGAGATATCAACTACCAAATTCTTGAAGAGTTGCTAATTATAATGGGTTTTATGGGTTTTTTTGTTCTTGCACTATTGGAGATTGAATCCAGTCCCTTGAGCCTGTTAGATAAGTGCTTTACCACTGAGCTATATCCCCAGTCTTGTATTGTTTCTTTCATGAAAGAGAAGTTAATTTTATGTGTAGAATTTATAAACGATGTAAGTTATATAGCTCAAATTTAATAGGCAGTTTGCCTGGTGCAAACTAAAAAAATCAATGGTATGATGCTGTGAGTCTGTCAGATACGGACGAGTTTTATTGACTGTAGTCTCGTTTTAGGAACTTCATGCCCACTTGAATGGATCCATTAGTTCTAATACCATGAAGAAATTAATAGCCAAGAAGCCAGATCTTAACATCAACAATCAGATGACTATGATTGACAAAGGAAAGAAAAGAACTTTAGAAGAGTGAGTTTGAAGACATTAAGGCAATACTTTTTTGGTCTGTTAGTGTTTTGAGATTATAATAAGTAATATATAAAAATTCAGATTTTAGTAGGTGAAAGGAATAGAATCAGTACCTTGCAGTGAGATTATAACTTAGCATAGAAGATTTTTTCCAACTGTCAGAATGTTGACAGTGGGGCCGGGGAGATGGCTTAGTAGAATAAGTGCTTCCCTGGCAAGCGCAAGGGCCTGAGTTCAATCCCTGGTTCTGCCCACAAAAAAAAAAAAAAAAAAAAAAGAATGTTGACAGTATTTTTAATGATTATACTCTTTGTAAAGTTATTGGCTTCTTCTAGACCTGAAACTACAGGCATATTAACTTTCCCCAAGTAGGGGAGACTGCAGGGGTAAGGTTAGAAGAATGGGCACTATTATTTCTCAACCCCCCCAAAAAAAATATATGTATATATATATAAAATTTGCAGTCATTTGATTATCATTCTAAAACAACAGAAAAAAGGTTTGAAAAACATTTGATAGGGTTTTGTAAATCTTACTATATACCTCCAGTTAGCCTAAAATCTAGTGATTAATTCCATTTAGGGAATTTCTCTTGAGTGACAAGTTTTTGATGACTGTAGCATATTGAAACTCTGCATTCATGTTACAGATGTTTCCGAATGTTCCAGATTATTCATCAACTTACTACTGGCCCTGAAGATATTCTAATGGTAAGACATAAAGGAAACGTAAGAGTAGTTTAAAGATTATGAAATAATTTATGCTCTTGTGGGGTTTTGGTTTGGTTTTGGTTTTGATTTTTGAGACAGGTCTCTATGTAGTATTGCAGGTTGGCCTTGAACTCACTATATAGCATAGGTTGGACATGAACGGTGATCCACCTCTGTTGACCTCCTGAATTCTGGGATTACAGATGTATGCTACTATACCTGGATGCACTTCTGTTGTTGAATGTGACCTTTTGCTTTCATCAGGAGTCTGATGAAAAATGTTTTTTTCTTTGTTATGACAACTCTCTTCAAAACCATTGTGAAACAATTGCCCAAGAGGTAAAATACAAAAAATTTTAAAAGTTCATAATAAAACATATGAAGAAGGAACCAAGATCAACATCTTCTACTGGATAGATGATAGGGAGAAGAAAATTTGGTCCTGTTTTCTGTATCCAACATAGCATATGAAATATTTGACTTCAAATGAGCATGTCCTTGGTAAGGCTTTATCTATGTCCCATACGAAACTTGTAATCATCTGAGTGGGCATTGCAGAGAATGAAATTCACCAAGTACTTATAAACTGAGTGGTTAATCCCTAGGAAAATTGTGCTTTCCTTTGGGGACTGGAGGACATCACTACGTTATCTGAAACTCCATGATTCTAGAATCTGACATTGAATACTATTGTATCATTGATCTGATCAAGGTGGCATTTTATTTAATTCATTTTTCCATTGCTGTGGACCACCCAAGAGTTTGCACATGCTAGGCAAGTGCTTTATTCAGCCTCAAGATGGCATTTTAAAATGTTGTCTTTTACATGGAAGGAAGGAAAACCTTGTCCATACTTTTTTACTTTTTGTCCATACTTAATGTTAGGGGAAAAAAAGTAAAATGTATAACCTGTGTTTCTGGAGAACTAACTTTGGACTGGTCAATAAAAGTTTTCTTCCTTGGCCAGGACTGATCTCCCTGATAAGTGGTAGTATATTAATTATATTAGTTCAGCAAAGGTTGACTGAGTGCTCAAAGTGTTCCAAGCACTGTGCTCAAGACTTCTAGATATAAAGAGAGATAGACATAGTTCCTGTTCCTGAGGAATTTATAGTCAGCTTATAAGGCATACAGCATCAGTCATTGTTTACTAGAAAAATAGATTTAATTTAAGGTACACAGATACATAAGAATTCACAAGATTGGGTTATAATGGCTGTCCATAGTCAGGTGTGGAAGTGTGCACAAGGTCTGTTTGCTCACTGGGGCTCAGAAGGATCCAGTCAAAAGCCTGGAGCTCAGTGTAGTGTCACCTGTGAGTCTGTAAGAAAAGGCTGAAGGGTCTGTGCTGGAAGCCAGAAAATGCCCTCCAAGGTGAAGGCAAAGATGAGCTCTTCTGAAGAAACAGAAGCAAGCCTTTCTTCTTCATTTCCCTTTTATAACATTCTGGTGAAAATCCTCCCTAGGGTGGGTCTTCTATACCTAGAACCATGCTGATCTAATTTATTTGGCAGTTTCTTCCTGAGGTTAACACAGTTAACTATCACATATACCAGTCAGCAAATAAATTTAACATCATTGGTAGCTATGCGTTAGAGGTATGTATAATGACTTATAGGAACCCAAAAGGGTGGACTCTGATCACTCACTCAATAAAAACCATTAAATCCCATAGGGGCTTCAGTCTCACTTTGTTGATGAGTGTTATGCAGGGAAAAATGGTAAAATTTTAGACCAGAGGGCTTGATACTACATGGATGTAATAATGCTAGACTTACCACTTCATTGATTTCAAAACAGAAGTTGGTGAAAAGCTCTTAAATGAGGTAACCAGTAAGGATTATGTACCTTTGACTTAGTGCTACTGGGATGGCTTGGGGAACAACAGGTGCCCCATGTAATGTATGAAACATCTGTGAGAATAAGGTGTAAGAGATTTGCTTGCTTGTTAGTGTCCTCTGAGTGTGTCTGAGATCACTTGAAATTCTAGTCAAGGTGATCTGCATATAATAGCAAAAAGACAGGATTGGAATGTGGCTGGAATATTTGCTTTTGCCAGGCATGGTGGTGATTACATTTGTAATCCCAGGACTTGTGAGGCTGAGGCAGGAGGATCGCTGCAAGTTTGAGGCAGCCTGGGCTACATAGTGAGTTCAAAGCAAGCCTGAACTGCATAGTGAAACACTATCTCAAAAAGAGGCCACCCCTTCCACAAAAAAA